ACCTTACCAACTGTACTTGAGGTAGTTGGCTGTGAGCAATTTTCGCATGCAGCAGCTTCCTGATAAATAATAAAAACAGAAGAATCTTGAATGAGGACCATGTTAGTAGAGTAAAACCTCATATGAAATAATATGCTAACTTGGCCTTAGTCTTTTTAGATAAAAAAAACTGAACTTTCCATCGAGGAAAAATCAAAGAATAGAAGGCAATACAAAAAAATCAAGCCCACAAAAGGAACTCAAGTAAAGCAAAGGGTTCCAATCAAGTAAAATAAGACCTACCAGATCACTACGAAGGCCTTCATCATCAAAGCCCAAAGAGGAACATAGAACGTGATAAGGGAAAAAATATCACAATGAGGGAACTTTTGTTCCTACAAAAGATTCTATTATTACTCCCACACCATAAATCCCACCAAAGGGCACAAAGCTCTGCAGTCCATAAGAAACGCCCCTTCTAGCGAAAAGGAGGATGAAGAACTCCTCGATGTGTCTGACAAACTAAAAATTGAACACAACCAAAAAGGAGATCCAAACAACTTGAGCAATATCACAGCTCCATAGCAAATGATCAAGATCTTCTTCCGCCTTCTAACAAAGTATGCAACAAAAAGACCTATCCAACTGAAACAAAAATCTTCAGAGTCTATCTAAGGTGTTAGCCCTTCCAAGGATAACCAGCCAAACAAAGAATCGAACCTTCTTAGGAACTTTCACCTTCCAAATACTCTAGCCGGAAGGGATCTGCCAAAAACTGGAAAAAAAAAAAAAAAAAAAAAAAAAAAAAAAAAAAAAACAAACAAACAAACAAACTATAAGAGAAACCCCAGAGGAGTTTAGACTCCAAAAGCGAACGTCCCTTCTATCTATTTTGTAAAGACAAATGGCCAAAAGCCACCTCTTTTGATAATTCCTTCCTTGTAATGAAAATGATCAAACTTAAATTCAATACCAAATCTCAAAGTTGGAATTTAGAATTGAGATGCAAAACTCAAGGGTCTACACGGATCTCAATGACTTGGAATTTGAGGAGTGGTTCAATTGAATTTCAAGGTGGATATGCTCCTTGCTGATGTTGCAGACATGAGGTCGTGAACTAGTGGCCAAAAGTGGGACTTCTGCACAAATGCCCCCTTTGGATCATTTGGTCATCTAACTCCTAACTTGAAGAGGTAGATAATGTGATGGAACTGAGGAAACAATATAGAGTACTCTCCCTGGATACAATGTGCTGGGCTCTAGGAAATATTTGGAAAGTAGCCCACCTTCTCACGGGCAGTCCCTTCAAGGCACATACATATTGAAGACTTTTTGACCCTTTAGATAATCATTATATTTTCCTGAGCAGTAATATGAGCTTCCACATTTTTGGCTTTGTGGGTTCTAGAAAGTAAAGGTTACAACGTGGTGGCTCAAGGCAGGTGGTGCAGTCTTGCGGAAGAACAAGGTCAGAGAGGAACAAGACTTATCAAATTTTTAGAACGCTAATGGACTAGAAGTTGGGCTATGATACTTTTTTTATGAAGCTTCTTTAGTCGAGTTCTTGCTCAAAAGATACCTCATCAGTTTCCCTCTTCTATCTCTTCCAATTGGTGAGCTTTTCGTAACTCATCAGAAGTTGGGAGGCTTCCCCTCCTTTGATTATATCATTCGATTTAAATAATTAATTGTCGTTCCTTATAAAAAAAATAACTAAATAAATCGAGTTTAACTGATATGTAGCATCGAAGTATGTTGAATGAAAATCTCGATGATCGAACTCCAAACAAAGTTCAAACGATTCATTAAAAGAAGAAGAACAATAAAAATAATTGATAAGAGATTCTGAATCAAAACATGACAGGAAAACCTTTTCAACTCGACGGAGCTTTCTGGATTCCCTCTCTTCCATGGACAGGTCCAGATTGCGAAGATACTTATGCCCCTCATCTGGCAAATAGCGAGCCTTAGTCTCGTAGAATTGCTTCATTCGGCGAATCTTTTCATCCAATTCCGCATCATTAAGCTTCTGGCATTCATCTCTTAACAAATGTTGGCGATCGGAGTCCATTTCAAAGTGCTTCGAGATCGTAATTGAGGGCTGAACGATTATTTCCAGTGGAGGCTCCGTTTCCTTGCCGCCGAACAGCTTGTCCCAGTCAATATTCAGAGGCTTCTTCTTCGTCGTTTGATCCTGCTCCATCGCCATGAATAGGCATCTGGTGCAGCAGAGAATTCAGCTATGGCTTCGATTCTCCTTGTCTCAGTCTCAGTTTACCCTCGTTCAGAGCCGAACAAATTTTCTTTGACCTTTTGGTCTTTTTTTTCCCTTTTTTCATTCCAATTTTCTTTCTCCATGCATTTAGTATGACCATGGATTTTTTTTTTTAAGCAAAAATAAATAAATAAATAAATTTTTCCTTCAATATTGAACGGTGGTTTATTAAAATTAGGGCTAATAAATTTTTTATTTTTGTTTCGAGAAAAAAGAGAGTTCGAACGAAATATATATATATATATATATATAAAAAGTATGTTGTCGACATTGTCGTACGTTGTGGGTGTCAGCCTAATGTAAGGTGATGATCGTATGCTTGAATGGAGAAAGTTAGGCCATATTTCAGGGGATTTTGGGGTAGTGGAGGTGGATAAATCGAGTGATGATCGTGTGCCCGAACGGAGAAAGTTAGGCCATGTTTCAAGGGATTTAGGGGTTGTGGAGGTAGTTAAATCGAGTGATGATCGTGTGCCCGAACGGAGAAAGTTAGGTCATATTTTAGAGGATTTAGGGGTCGTGGAGGTGGGTAATTTGAGTGATGATCATGTGCCCAAACGGAGAAAGTTAGGTCATATTTCAGGGGATTTAGGGGTCGTGGAGGTAGGTAAATCGAGTGATGATCATGTGCCCAAATGGAGAAAGTTATGTCATATTTCCAGGGATTTAGAGGTCATGGAGGTGGTTAAATCGAGTGATGATCGAGTGCCCGAACAGAGAAAGTTAAGCCATATTTCAGGGGATTTAGTGGTCGTGGAGGTGGGTAAATCCAGTAATGATCGTGTGCCCAAATGGAGAAAGTTAGGCCATATTTCAAGGGATTTAGGGGTCGTGGAGATGGTTAAATCGAGTGATGATCGAGTGCCCGAACGGAAAAAGTTAGGCCATATTTCAAGGGACTTAGTGGTCACGGAGGTGGTTAAGTCGAGTGGAAGGATATTGGATAAGAGATGCAATGAGATTTGAGGATATACTCGCTGAAACCACAACATAAATACTCACCCTGGTTAGAGTTCATTCGCGAGGAAACAAATGGTCATTTGACAAAAGCTTACATGTAAGTTGATTACTGAAAATTTTTATACTCGTTCTGCTGCTATTTATTTATTGCATGAAGTGTAGACGGTAGTTCATGGCAGGAATGTATCGAGCTGTGCGACTACAGGAATGACTATTGGATCGAGTATTTCCATCTATGTCATTTTTAATATTATTTACACCGAAAATCATGTTATTTTGTAACTTCTTTTGACGTTGACTCGAGGCTGCAGACTCTCAGATTAATTTTATGTCAGTTTTAAATGCATGTTTGACTTCTTGTTACTTATGTCTGTATATTTTACATTTACATGTATGCATACGTGTATATATATATTTATTTATTTACTTATTTAATTTGTTTTGATTTTTTATAAATTATGTTTAATACGATATTATATTTTTTAATTATAAAATATAATTAGATTTATTAAGTTGTTATACATATTTTTTAATTTATGCATATATATATTTTACATTTACACACATATTACGTACGTGTGTATATATATATATATATATTTATTTGTTTGTTTATTTACTTATTTAATTTGTTTTGATTTTTTATAAATTATGTTTAATACGATTTTATATTTTTAAATTATAAAATAATGATTAGGTTTATTAAGTTGTTTTACATATTTTTTAACTTATGCGTATATATTTTACATTTACATGCATATTACGTACGTGTGTGTATGTATGTATATGCGTACGTGTATATATATATATATATATATTTATTTATTTACTCTTTTTTGAATTTTTATAAATTATATTTAATACGATATTATATAATTTTTTAATAAAAATTATATTCAAAATTAAATTTATCTATTAAAAATGATTTAAAACTAATATTCTTTTTTAAAAATATATAAAAAAACAGATTTTTTTTTTATCACAATTCCTACAAAAATAAATAAATAAATGATGGAGACGTCTTTGTAAGCTTATTGGGCCTCGAGGCCCTAATGAGTCCAAATACAACGGGCTTCCTCACTATAAAGCCCAATCTAATGCTGGACTCAAATCTACTAAAGTAACCATGTAGGTGACGCAAGTCGCCACGTGGACCAATGATACGTAACCTGCTAGACTCACCCGCTGAAAGAGAAACAGGCAATTTCATCTCCCTCGCCTCGTGCTTCTGTAGGGGTTCCGAGATCGTTTCTACGGTTCCTTCCTTCCTTCCTTCCCTCCTCCACCTTCACTCTCTAGGGCACGACAATCTGAAGGATTGGTCTGGAAGCCTTCGACTTCCTCCCGATCTTTTCTCTTCTTCCATGGCGGACTCTTCTTCTCCCCCTGCAACCCTCGATTCAAATCCTCAAGCTGCCGAGCCCGAAAACCCCAATCCACAGGCCAAGAAACCTGAATCTGCCGCTTCTTCTTTTCCTCCTACGCAATCGTTACCACCAGCACCGATTTCGGTTGGAATAAACCCTACCTTGCATTCGCCGTTGGTGTCCACGCCGCAACCGCCTCCTTCTTTATCGTATGGCCCGCCGCCCGGTACTGTGGCTGTTCCTCCGACGGCTCCGTCTTTTCGGCCGGTGCCTCTCGGAGTTCATCAGTTCTCGCCTATGCCTGGCACTGGCATGCTGAACCCAAGCTATCCAAACCCTGGGGTTCAGCCTCCCGGTGTTAGTTCGGTTCCGGCGCCTGCTTCTGGTATGGCAAGTGGCGTTACGGGAGCTGTTCCTGTTCCAGCGCCACAACAGATGATGGCTTATCAAGTTCCACCGGGTCAGGTTCCAAATCCGGCGATGAGGCCGTACGCCACTATGCCTAATGGTTTCGCAGCTGCTACTCCTCAAGGAGCATTTCTTCCCCCTGGTGGGTTTTCTTTATCCCTATTGTTCGAACACTTCAATTGGCAATGTGATTGCGTAATAATCTTGAATAGTTTCTTTAATCTATATGATTGTCGCTGTGTTATATGTAATTTTGTTTAGCATTCTCTTTGTTGATGCTGTCAATTGCGCCCGCTGCATTCATTTTAAGTTCGTTATCAACTGGAACACAGTCTGACTTCGAACAAAAATTTACCTTCATTTCCGTGTGATTTTGACTAGAAAGTACATAATTTTTAAGTGTTTACACAAAGTAAAGAGTTCAGGGCATGTTATGATGATGCCTGGGAAAGAGTTTGCAAAAATAAGTTCGGAGTCTATTAAAAATTTTCGTGTTGGTTAGATGAAGGGTATCGATGACAGGATGTTTTCTCCTACAGCGTCTTGTCTCTTGATTGAATACGGTGAAAAAGGTTGGAAGGCTTCATATTGCTTAGAGAACTCCCAACTACAACTCCTTTTTTGGGTATGCTCATTCATATTTGCCTGTTATTCTTGTTTGCTTTCAGCATGGTTTTTTTTCTTTATTTTTTAAATGGGGTTCTGGTTCTAAGCCCATAAGAGAACTTGGTATACAATACAAGCAGTATAGTATTCAAGAGCCTTTCCTTTTGCCCTGCTACATAATATACGGCTGGTCCTGTTTATTTACTAGGATTTTACTGGTAGTTATATTGGATACTGTCCCTGGATTTTGAATTGCCAGAAGCAGACCATGTTAACCACCTGAGTGCTCGTTCTCCTTGTTTCTAAGGTATCAAATTCTCTTAATTATTATATCTTTTTTTTTTGACATTTTCTTTGATTCCTTGTGCTACACAGTCGGGATCTCTTGGAAATTTGAGAGTGAGTTTTGAGAACATGTTAATTTATTCCTCTTTCAATCGATTATCTGTGTGTATGAATTGCTCGAAGTGTTGTGCTTCTTAAATCATAAAATTCTGCTTTTGATGGATGGGATATTTGATAAAGCTGCAAGAGTAAGGTAAGACAACTTACGTAACAGTTCAAGGAATTTGGTGCTATTATTTGAACGTTTTCATTAGGTTAGATAATGTATTCAGCTGGTGAAAGCTTCCATTCGTTTGCTTCCATCTTTTATTTACTTGGGACTTTGGTAATGGGATTCATGAATCCTAATAAAATATTATTCTATGTACTTTTAGCACCGCTTTGAGTAGTCCGACAACCTTTCTGATGCATTGGCAAGATATTTTTTTTTCCTTTTGTGCAGGAGTTCCTCGTTTTGCTTCTCCATTTCCTGGTATGATTCGGACACCTTTTCCTCCACGCCCACCTGGTGCTATGGGCATGATGCCAGGAATGCCACGGCCTCCTATTCCAGGGATTCCTGGTGTTCGTCCAATCATCCCTCCTGTGGTTAGACCTGCTATTCTCCCAAGTGTCACACCTGCTGAAAAACCACAAACTACAATTTATATTGGCCGAATTGCTCAATCAGTGGAAAATGATTTCATGCTGTCCCTTCTTCAGGTAGGTTAATCACTCTCCATGTTACATTTCTTCTGTTATTTTTCACTATCTTCAATTTAGTGGCTATAATCAATATCCATCTGTTTCTTTTAGCTATGTGGACCAGTGAAGAGTTGGAAACGGGCCCAAGATCCTTCAGATGGAACTCCTAGAACCTTTGGATTCTGCGAGTTTGAGTCTGCTGAAGGTGTTCTTCGTGCACTACGATTACTGACGAAGTTAAACATTGATGGACAAGAGCTAGTGGTATGATGGATTTTGTTACTATTGCCTAGATATCCTATTTGATTTTATTAATATTAAAAAAGTTGATCTTTCTAAATCTACTACGTAAGTTACTGGTTTTGTTTGAATTAACATCTTCCATATCACAGTAATTTGAATCTCTAAGATGTGTCACGGCCTTTCCATTGTTGATCAATAAATTTAAAATTTTCTGTTTTTGAATGTTCATCTTCTTCCAAATCCTTACCTTTTTAACAATTATTACAAAACATCTGGGTACACTCTTGCTCTACCATTTAAGATGCTTGTTTGAAAATTTATTTAATCTTGACATTCCTTCTCAAAAACAGACATTACAGTTATCTGTTTGTTTGTTTTTTCTTTTTTTGCTATCCTACCGCTTCCTTGCTGCGACTTTCAGATTAAACTTTCATGGATTCTGTTTATTTTTTATTTTTATCGATCTATCATGTTGTGATGTTATTGTATGAGCTGAAAATTCAGTCATAATCAAGGTTGTCCTCTATATTGGTTTTTTCCCCCTCCCTACCAAGTTCTATTATTATGGATCGATCATTTTCATTCTTGATAATAGCATTACTTTTTTTTCAACATAAAAATGGTATGGATATTTATTTTGTTTGGTATCATTAAATTAAAACTTAAACTTGTTTCTGATGGGGAGTAAAACAAATAGTAAGTTAAGCTAGTCTGTTTTTCTTTCTTTCTTTCTTATGGTGTCAAATGTTAACTCTATATACAACTTTCAAGTTTCAACTTATTTTTAATATAATTTTATCACAATTTTTTAAATGAACAGCTAAAAGGTACTCAAGCAACAAGAGATTATCTGAAGCGTTATGTTGAAAAGAAAGCAGAGAATTCAAAAAAACTGAAAGAAACACAAGTTTCGGAGACTAAGGAAGAAGAAGCTGATGCAGCGAATGTGGCAAAAAATGAAACTTCAAAGCCCCCTGCAGAGGATTCAAAAGAGGACCGTGATTCAGGGGAAAAGGAAGATCATGACATTGCCTGTTCTGCAGTTTTAAGTGATGAAGATAGAGAGGCTGATCGAGAGGCATCAGAAAAGCTTACAAATGCTCTGGAGGAGAGGTTGAAGTCTAGACCTCTGCCACCACCTCCTCTACTGACAACTGCTGATGTTTCTGGAAATTCAAGTGCAGAGCCATCTGCTAAACTGAAAGATGGTGAATATGACGTTGATATTTTGAAAAGTGGTGAGTGTTCATAAGTTGGTTGTTCAAATCTTCTCTTTGTAGTATGAGAATAACTAACTAAGTTTGCACAGTAGATATACAATATTTGTTTATAGCGTGGTCCTTCATTCATTAGGAATAGTTTATGTTTCTTTCTTAAATTTAAAGAGTGTAGGTGCTGGGTTGCTTAATTTTCATAACCTCTTACAGATGCAGCTGATGATAGAAATGATGATGATTCAACTAGCGACAATAAACAAACTAGTGAGCAGCACGACAAGCCTGAAACAAGCTCACCTGATAGAAGTAGAAGGTATGACAGGAGAAGTCGAGAAAGAGACAGGGAGCGAGATTTAAAAAGGGACAAGGAGCGGGAAATTGAGAGATATGAAAGAGAGACAGAGCGGGAACGAGCTAGGAAAGAGAGGGAACAAAGAAGAAAGATTGAAGAGATTGAGCGACAGTATGAAGAATGTCTTAAAGAGTGGGAATATCGAGAAAGAGAGAGAGAAAAGCAGAGGCAGTATGAGAAGGAGAGAGAGAAAGAGAAAGAGCGTAAAAGGAAGAAAGAGATATTGTATGATGAAGATGATGAGGATGATGATTCAAGAAGAAAATGGCGCAGAGGTGCTCTGGAGGAAAAGAGGAAGAAGAGATCTAGAGAAAAGGAAGATGATTCAGTTGATAGACAGAGAGAGGAAGAAGAAATTGCCGAGGCCAAAAGAAAGGCCGAGGAGGAACAGCTGCAAAAACTGAGAGATCCACCAAAACTTCTACCTGTTCAGATGATGAATATCAATGAGAAAATTGTTCTTCCTGAAGAACCTGCTAACGAGATTAAATTTTTGACTTCAGAACGTGATTCTGAGCTTGACTCGGGCCGTGAGAATCATATAGGTAATTGTCTTACATGTAAACTTTAAGAAGTCTTTTTATTTTTTTAATCCACATGTCTATTACCTTGTATACCTGCCTATTCTATTATTTGAATGACAAATCTGGTATGTGACAGGGGATGGGTTTTTACAAAATGGTAGTGGTGATGAACTAAATATAATACCATCAGAGACCCGTCAGAGTGAATGCTTGCCTGCAAAAAGGTTAGGATTTGGTATAGTAGGTTCCGGAAAACGGACTACTGTACCTTCAGTTTTTCACGAGGAGGATGATGAAGCACAGAAAGAGAAGAAAATGAGGCCACTGGTTCCAATCGATTACTCAGCTGAGGAACTCCAAGCTGTGCAGCCTTCTAGTACTGGGGCTTTGCCACCAAATTTAGCTGCAGCAGCCGAATTTGCAAAACGTATATCAAATGTCAATTCTAAAGAAGAGAAGCCTGATAGTGAAAGGGAGCGAGGAAGGCGTCCCAGTGAAAGATCTAGTCAGCGGGATAGAGACCGAAATGATGAGGATACCTATCGCAGCAAAGATGAGAACAAGACAACAGACAGAGATAGGGAGCGAGACCGTGTTTTGGATAAAGTAAAAACACCAGACAACAAAAAGCTGTTGGATGCGAAACAGTTGATTGATATGATTCCCAAGACAAAGGAGGAATTATTCTCATACGACATAAATTGGGCAATTTATGAAAAGGTATGGAGTCTCATTGATTCTCTTTTTCTTAATATTTATGGTGATTGAAATGTGAAACTGTGTTACATGAATAACTTGGGTGTCATATGTTTTAAAGATTATGTGGGCGTGGAATTTCGACACGTTTGTAGTTGTGCATAGCATTAATAATACTGTCAATCTAGGGTGTTGACATGTCTTTTCTCATTTCATTCTCTTTACTTGGGTTTTCTATGTTAGAACATGGTCAAAACTTATATTCTGATTCCTGCTGGTTCTGTCTAATTAATTTTTTCGTTCATCTTCAGGGAAATATAATAGGTAGATATTTCTGAAATTTAATGCATTGTTATGCTTATTTGCAGCATGCATTACATGAGAGAATGAGACCGTGGATTTCGAAAAAGATAACAGAGTTTTTGGGGGAAGAGGAAACCACTCTTGTCGATTACATAGTTTCGAGTACTCAGGAACACGTAAAAGCATCTCAAATGCTGGAGCTGCTTCAGTCAATTTTGGATGAAGAAGCTGAAATGTTCGTTCTGAAGATGTGGAGAATGCTTATCTTCGAAATAAAAAAGGTAGAAACTGGTCTAGCTTTCAGATCAAAAGCATGAGTTAAGTTTACAATGCATGTCGGCTCCCATTGGTGCTTTCTCTGTACCAATATTTTTCACGGCTCTGAACTTTCAGGCCATTTCTTGAGGTAATAGGATCACATCTCTGTTGGGATTTTACTCAATTGTATGCTTTAGATTCATTCTTTTTAGTATTTATAGTCGAACTTTTGTCTCCATGAGAGGTTGCACTTGTAGCTTAACAAAAAAAGAAAGAAAACTTTCCTTTTCAAACCTAGAGAATATTAGGAAAGCGACCGAAAAATTTGTTTCGTAAGAACCTTATTTGAAAAGATCTGTTCTATAGGTTGTACATCCGTGTCCTTGGATTCTAAGAAAAAGGTTATGGTACATAGTTATAGTTTTGCAAGGCTAAATGTTCACAAAACATATGGTTACGCTTCGGTATGAAGCATCCATAGTTCGTACGAGAAGTCGCTGTGTAAAGGATCAAAAGATTCAAAACCAAGTTACAATAGAGCCAATAGCCAAACCCAAAGCAAGAACAAAACCATTATAACCCTGATTGGAGTCATCACAGCACGAAGTGTTTGGAATAGTTCACACATGGGAAGAACTAATGTGTTACTTTCTCCTTTTCGTCTCCTCCAATGTCGAAGTGTAGTCGATTAAGTCGGTTATTAGGGAGTGTCAAGTAGCAAGCTGAAGTGACTTGGAAATGGAGAATTTAAGCACCGGTTTAATGTTGTGTCCAATACACTACACTTCGATGCTTAAGTTAGTTACATAGTCTACATACACGAAGACTATAGAAAGTAAACCAAACCCAAGAAAAAGAAGAAAACCATAGTAAACTCAGCAAACTCTGCCTATTGAAAAGGAACCAATTTTGGCGCCAAGATCATCGTAACAGCCGATAAATGTCCACGACTGAACCCGAGAAAGGCGAGTAAGAATTGGCACAGGAACTTAGGTCTAAGGAACTGAGAACCATGCAAGCAACCCAGAAGGAGTGGAGAAAACAACAGCCTCCCCACCCAGCTCCCAAGAACAACCTGGTTCTTGGAAATATGGGATACCAGTATAAAAAATCCGAATGAAAATCCTTAGTAACAGACCCTGAGAATATCGTCTATGGTTGAATGAATATATACATATATACACACATATTTTTCATTTAGTTTAAATATTGATATAAAATTTACATTTAAATATTATTTTTAATCTTTTTATCTTTATATTTTCAGTTTTGATTCATTTTGGCTTCTATATCTTAAAGTTTTCACTTCTTTATTAGATGATTATGCACTTAGTGATCATTTTACCTACCAAATAAGTTGGTAGGGGTGGATTAAATCCCTAAATTTTAATGGGTTTGAATTTCTTCTTCCTCGTGTTTTGAATGGGACCATGTTCTTTCGTGTTGAAAATTTTGAAATCTGTAAGTAGCTGAAAAATTAGGTTCGTTTTAATATGTGTGATTGAAATGCACTACAAGAACGTATAAGTTAGAGTTATAATTTGAATTCATGGATGTTTGATATTTAAGTTTTATGATATTTTAGTTATTAATATGAACTTATTACGAATAAGTATGAACTTTTAAAATAATTTATGAAAAATTGAACCATCCTGACTTCAATTTAAATCCAACTCGGAAAATAAAGGATTAGGTGATTGAGATGAATTGAGTTGGATCAGTCGCTTGAGTATCAATACAACCGACTCTAAATTTTTTTTAATTAAAAAAAAATCGTACAAATAAAATAGGGGTCGCTGCATGGACATGGACAGAAAATAAATATGCACAAATTTCAAGGACGTGTTTGGTTCATAAATTTATGTAACTAAAGTTGAGAAGCCATACCAAAATTGCTTACCTAAGAATGCTAGCTACATAAATTCAAACCTAACAAACTAAAAACTTCCATTATAATCAAAACAGTCTAATGAAAAATTATCATTTTTCTATTTCAAATAAAAAATAAAAATATTTGTATAAATATCTAAAAAGATGTGGATTTAGATCTTTAACTAAAGTCGATAAGATTTCGCAATTTCGCACTAGTACGTTATTATGAATATCAAGTGCACTATGATACTTTACATTAACATTGACCATATGTAGATTTTAATTAAGTTTTGTTCGATCTATTTATAGTAATATCAGTGTCAAAGTCGTATTCGTACGGTTGACTACATTTCTAAGAAAGGAGATTTCGTGCATTGACTCGATTGATCCTCCATCCTCTATAAGAAATCAACTAAAAGTACTTGATTTAGCCCGTGTCCGTCTCAACACTTCGGGTGTTTCTTGCACTGCCGACTCGAGTTGACCTTAATGGACTTTGAGCTTCAATACATTTTTCCTACAACAAAAGATAAACAATTTCGAGAGATTTGATCCTACTAGCTGAAGTTACAATTATGAATAATTTGCTACACTCTAGGTATATAGGGGAATGAACATCATAGCCTTGTTTTGTTGCACAACTTGCAATAGGCTATATGTCCAAATGTCATATTCAAATCACATCAAACCCTCTTTTTCAAAGCCAGCTGTGGCATCTCTGGCGAATGAAGAAACACCAAAATAGCAATTTCGATCTTTTACGATCTCAGGTGGTTCGTCTCGACCTTTTTTCATGACCCCTATTATACCCCAAAACTCAAATTGACCTCTCTCTTTCATTTTCCCAATTCTGTCGATGAAAGCTCTTCTTCAGGTAAAAAAGTACCCCACGAAAAATGTTACCCTATAGAGATAGAAGCTTTTTTCATGACCCCTATTATACCCCAAAAGAAAGGGAAGCTCATTCACTCACCTGACGACTCACCTGACGAGCAAGACAACAACAAAGAGGTGATCAACCTCTTCTTCCTTTTACCCTTTGAACAATAAAGGCTAGTATGAGAAAAGCTTCTATCTCTATAGGATACGATTTATTGGGGAGTACTCAGATATAAACAACTTCTTACCTGCAATAAGAAATGAAAGCTAAATCAATCAACGGACAGAATCAAAAAACCCTTCTTTAACAAAGTTGAATCATTATATGTTTGAATTTGTTTAATCAAATGATTGGTGTGATGCAGTTTCAACCTCCAAATCGCACAACTCATGATCCCAGCTACAAAATCAGTGGCAAAAGCACGTTATTATGTCTACTAAAAGTCTAATCAGTTCTAATCACCTCCAATTTGACACTAATAAGAATAAAGAATTGGTTAGGTAGGCTTACTTCTTGTGGCCCATAACAGTGTCCAATACTAAAACCAGGAGTAAACCAATATTGGTTCATGAACTGTTCTTTCTGGCAGGAAATCAAATCAGAATAGTTTAGTAAATGTCCTCCTCAATCGCCCCACCTTTCAGACAGCCCCACAAGCAGTACCAAGGTTCTTAAAATCAGATGAACATGACAATTTTGATCCTTGTAGCATACAAATCCCTGAACTTTTTGCTCAAAAACAGATATTAAACGAGGGACGAGCCATCAGCCAGCTATTAAACAACTAAGAAAGTTTCTTCTCTTAGAAAAACTTACAGTATAAAGCTGAATTGTTGACATCTCTTTGCTCATCTGGGTTGTTTAACGATGGAGATTTCCAGAGGAGTAATGGAATTGCGCCTTTTGAGCTTCATCTTTTTGTGTATGTTGTTTGTTGTCCCTTCACGTGGTAGATTTACTAGATATTACACGCCTCCAAACGTCCCACGTTTGACAGATCTCGTTCCTCGTGTCTCGATTGATCAATGCTTTGCTAAATTGTTTGGGGCCTCAAATATGCGGCTGATGAACAATGGGTCCTCTGTCAATCTCACTCTCGACAAAGTTTCTGGTAAATCACCTTTGGATCTTAACTTTTCTTTTAGTCTGACTTTCACTTTCATTTCTAACTTTTTCTCTCTTCATCTTTGGAGGTGCTGGTCTGGTCTCCAGAAACAAATATCATTATGGATTCTTCAGTGCTTCAATTAAGCTTCCATCAGGTCTCACTTCAGGGGTTGTGGTGGCTTTTTATGTAAGTTCTTTTTTTCTCTCTACTGTTCTCAGTTTGGCTTACCAGTTTGATGCATAGCTAACGAGATGAACACCGCGTTCAGTTGTCGAATGCAGATGTTTATCCCCATTCTCACGACGAGATAGACATCGAGCTGCTTGGACATGACAAGAGAAAAGATTGGGTTATTCAAACAAATATCTATGCCAATGGAAGTGTCAAGACTGGAAGAGAAGAGAAATTCTACCTGTGGTTTGATCCCAGCTTGAAGTACCATGATTACACCATCATTTGGAACAATTATCATACAGTGTAAGTGCATGAAATTCAGTCTCAAAAATAAACCCAAAAATGGGTCTTTGCTTTTCTTATTGGATCAATCACAATGTTTCTTAAAAAGTGCCTCGAAATGCAAGCAGGTTTCTGGTGGATAATATTCCAGTAAGAGAGCTAAGAAATTCTGAAGCTTTCTACCCATCAAAGCCAATGTCAGTTTTTGTCACAATATGGGATGGTTCAGAATGGGCAACTCATGGAGGCAAATACCCAGTTGACTACAAGTATGCACCCTATGTAGCTTCTTTTGAAGAAATGGAAATCAATGGCAGTATGACAACTTCGACACCCACTTCTCCTTCAGGTTCTAAAACCAATGTCTCCAGCCCAGATACTCTGGAGCGGCCAGAATTTATCAAGCTATCACAGCAGCAAATAGAGGCAATGGATTGGGCAAGGAGGAAGCTCATGTTCTACTCCTATTGTAAAGATACATCTAGATACAAAGTTCTACCACCAGAGTGCAAATAAATGTATTTTTGCTATTTCCTACTTATCACTAGGATTCTTTCAACCAAAATTTGAAGTTACAAAAAAGAGGGTATTGTAGCCTTGTATCCCATAATGATTAGTGAGGTACACCTACGTAAGACATGGGATGGAAAGAGAAGGAAGATGTTTGTCTTTGTGCCTCTATCTTGTTTTTTATAATTTTTTTGAAAAAAAAGAAAAGAAAAGAAAGATCCTTTCCCTTTCAGTGTATATGAAAATAAATGTGTTGGCTTATTTGGTTTATGTGGCAAGTAAAAAAATCACCGTCAGTGATGCACTAACTGGATCCCACTAGACAAATCAAAGACAGGGCAATTACTTTATCTAGAAAGATGTGCCAATGACAACGCAAGAAACATCTCACGTGGGGATGGCGATGCGAATATGGTTTCAAGTTTTGAACATCAAAGACAAAGATGCTGGTCGATAGTTAAATAGAGA